ATGTCTATTGTACTAAGTTTAGGCATTTTCATACTAAAAGTGTAAACTCATTTTTACTGAAGAGAATACTGAACACTAAATAGTCTTGTACATAAAATGGAATGGGTTTTATTAGTCAATATTTTAAGTTGATATTATACTTACCATTATAACTATACCAATCATCAATTTCTTGGTTATATGAATTCAATCAAATTGTGGTAAAACTAATAAAATTACAGAGGCGAACAATTAAAGCTTTAATCAAAATTTGTTTTCCATTAAAAAACTCACATTTACTTGCCATTTGAAATAACATCTTTTAACACTCAATTAGCAACGCATATCAGTCAGTAGACGGTATATAGATTAGTATGTTTTTGTTACACTTGTAGACCATCAACGTTGGTGATCTATTTCGAGTGACTGGAGGCCTGCTCAAGTTAGACGGGAACGGTGTGCCGAACAAGCTAAATTCAAAGTCAAGCCTCACGGTCAGCATCTAACTTGGATTACTCCATTCGACGTATTAAAGTACTATGTCTGCTTTGAAGACTGTATAACACAAAGATTACGTAAATATATTAGTAAGAATGAGTACAGAGATTTTATTGAGACCACCACCGCATGAGCCAGTCATGGCGTATGATTAACTGATGAGGGTTTTGTTGTCCTTGACTTCAACAGGGATCGATGATCTGTTAGATATTCAGTCACCAAACTCCCGGATGATTTGGCTAGGGTTTAGTTACATTTCTTTGCCTCTACAGAGTTAAAAGTTTTTATTAGCCTTAAATCTAATTCACTAATAAAATTTGATCATTAAAATATTTAATTTTCAGGTATTTCGCAGATTTGATTTTCGTAATAGTTCATCAAGTTTTGTTATTAATTATAGATAACATGAAAATTATCAAAAACATGAATATGTTACATTCAGCCTATTAAATAAAATAATATATATTGTTTAAAATAAAATAAAGTATAAATTTAATGGAATGCAGGATATGATAGGCGGTATTAGTTCCATAATGTTTGCAGATACACCCTAATGATGAGTGTTAACAGGCATAAAACCTAGGCTAAGATGATTTTTTGGACTAGGTTTCATCACACACTAGAATCTAGTGGATAAACACTATGAACATAAAGTAATAGTCAGTTGCTAGCAGTGTACGATCGCATATCCGTTTAGATCTGATAATTTAGTTTTACTCTAAGCGCATCATTTTCTAATCGTCAATTTAAAATCCAATAGTTCAAATCTTCACGCTCCTTCACTTTGTAATGGTGGTGTTGTGAGTGCTCATAGTCGATGATTCAACTACTACGTCAAAATATCTAAAATCCAGCTCTGACATTGAACAGTTCTCGTACTGATATCAGTCTGTGAAATCAGCATAATTTAAATCATGTCTATTTTATTAATCATAAGGATCAGTCATTTGCGTTATTATTTCTCGATTGTAAACAACATTATAAATCTCTTGGCTTAACTCTTCAGTCTGAAGGATTCATAAATCACTTTCAGCCCCATAGATTAATAAAATCTCTGTACATTACATATATTTTAGATACTGAACTACAGAATAATGTTGATGAGAGGAAATAACACGATAAACGTAATTTCGTCATAGTCTAGAAAAATGTAGGAACCTAATCATGAAAGTGAAAGATAATTGCACTTATTAGTTCTAATGAGTATCTTCAATGAAGACAGAATTGATGAAATAACTCAATTATGATCACTAGAGTAGGAAAGGAGATACAAAATTACTTTTGTCTTACTTTTCTCAATTTCAGCAATTATTCTTTTCCATGTACAAGAACACAATGCTGTTCGAATTAATAAGCATTTTTGAAAAAAAACAAATATATTCTGAATATTCTGACGAAAGTTTGCTGCGGTTATCTAATTTGAAGGTGATTAACATCGGCTAAGTTCCATTAATTTTTCATTTGATGCCAATCTGATATAAGATGCAACTTCATATTCAAAAATGCAACCGAGATGTGTGATTCTCTTAATTGACAAGAATTTTGCTTTGTTTTGTTCACTAAAACTGAATATGTCCATTAGAAGGAAATGATGAATAATATGTCATACATTCCGGATAGGACGACACTCACGAGAGAAAAAAATACTGTTATGGAGAGAACTCTCTTTACTGAAGCCAGTTTTTGATTGGTTATAAATGTGTTAGAACTACTAGATAATTTCTACTGCATTTCTAGTGCATGTGATAGTCGGTCACAATATTCATAACATAACTTAGACGAAGTTACGCTAACCCTACAAACTAGTTATTCGAACCCATAAAAGTACTTTCATGTTTATAAAAAGATTTAGTAGCTTAAGAAGGTGAGAATACGTGTGGTTACATACACTAGAGGTTTTAGAATAGTAATACTTAACACCATCCAATCAATTACACCATCAGCAGTAATTTGATATTTCTTAGAACACGACATGTTCTATTTGTTAATTTACAAGGAAAGATATATCAGTTATTTTCAATAGTTTTATACATGTATTTTATTTCATAACTTCTCTCAGCAAAAAATTCATATAGAAATGTAAAAAAAAACCAGTGTAGATGCATTGAAGCATATAAATCGTTTAAGTGAATACCAACTGACATAAAATATGGGCCATAACTGAAAAACACAGAATTACTTTCCATTTCATTGACAATAATTGAAGACCTTTTACGGATTATTTTCAAAGGAACTTTTACTACGAATTGAAATATGTGAAAAAATAATTGATCATTGTTTAATGATTCGTGATACCTACTGGCTAGTCAGATGTGTTCAATAATCAGACAGAACATTCATGAATAAAGATAGTGAAAATAATTTCAAGTGAAATAATTCAAGCTTTATTATCAAACTCTTGTAAGATTATTCTGTAATTAATAAATATTAGATTTCTTGTTTCTTTATAGGCCTAAAACTGATCATGAAATTTTATTTATCAATGAAGTCTGAATTACGATACTTTATTCTGTTTACAGATACTCTTTCAATCATTCAAAAAGTACAATAAATAACAGTGTTTACTAATTGTTCAACGTTAAGAAGTTGAATATGTTTTGTTATAGATACCATTAATCTATATTCTCATAGAAAGTGTAGATGGTACGCAATAAACATTTTCAAAGTAACACTTGAGTGAATTCTACAGAAAGCCTATAGGACCTAGGTTTCGTACTTGTTGTCATCTAGCTCTACGATCTTACTTCATTATGAACGAACAATGAATAGGCCATGAATACATATTCTCCATTTCATTTCGTGTATTCTACTTGGATTAATAAAATCACTAAGTTCTTTTTAATCAAGGTTAGTTGTTTATACATTGGAACATTAATACTAAATGATGACTGCATAATAAATGTAGTTATCTAATCTTAAGGTTGATGTTTACCCTTAGACTGACATCTATAATCTTATATGTCTTTTCAACAAGAATTTCTTTCTCTTACATCAGTTATTTATATAGATATTCTAACGAAAAATTTAGATTCTCTCTAATTACAATGATACATTTTATTTTCAAGATTTCTGGGAATCTAATTTTTACACATAAATTCCAAGTCAAGTTTATAAACTGTCATTTTCCCCTATTGTTTTCTATCTGGTTTATATAAATCCATTATCTGTAGAGAGACTAACTTTCTAGTCACGACGATTAAGAATATCTAAAATAGTTTAAATGTAAACTAAATAAACACAAAACATTATTTTTAAAAAGTACTTGACGAAATCGGATGCTGGCTCAATGGTCTAGTGATTAAGTGCTCTGGCGCGAGACTGTTAGGTTCTAGGTCCGAATCTCGCGAGGCAGGATGAGCATCGCTGAGGAGTCCCACAATGGGACGAAACGGCAGTCTAGTGCTTCCAGGTTTTCCATGGTGGTCTAGCTTTAATTGACTTATGATCTCAACAATATGAAATTACTAAATATTTACTCTCTTTTCTTTTTAATTTATCTATCTCATCACTTCGATTGAATAGTTGTCTATGGTTTAGATTTTACTAGTTTAATCAAGGTTTTTCGATTTTATCACACTATAATAAATTGAGTTGTTCAATGCATACTGATTGTTTAACTTCACATATACATTCATTCATATAGTTATTTTATATTCAATTTAAAATAAATGTTTAAATAAAACATTTGTTGCTGACTAGTTTAAAGGGAATATTCCATAAAAAATCCACCAGCTTATCTAACTTATTAGAAAATAATTCCTACAGATTTACACTCCATAAATCACTGCTTTTTCACTATGACGTAATTAGATTGTATGGTATTCCTTTTTATTATTGTTCATAAAACACGTTTAGTACAAAATATTTATCTATACATTAATCAACTGGCCGGTTTCTACCATTCTCCGTATAGTGGTAGCTTATCGATTCACTTTTTTATGTAAATGGGGAGAACAAATTTGTCTGGCAATTCAAGAAAAACCTGATTGAAATTTTCTGTGAAATAGATTTTCTTCTCTAAATTTGTAACGACATTTTTATTTGTATGCAGAACTGGTGGATGAGTTTGAACGAAACATTATTGAAGTAAATTTCCTCCAGATGACTAACGTTATACTGTAAATACTACAGCATAAAACTATCTTGATTTACACAGGAGATGAATGAAGTTGAACTTATATCTATGCTGTTCACGTTCAGTCATAAGTTTTATTTACATGTTTCGAGCACAAATGTCTCAAACTGCTTCGGTTTTAGGTACTGACGTTGTGATGCTAGAAAATAACAAGTATATTCGAATACTTGGACTTTTTCTTTTACAAATGTAGTAATTGATATTTTTTTACAATTCTAAATACCGTCCCATAATCAACAAAGATGTGTTCCGATGAGAAATATAGAAACAAAAATTATACTGGAAGAAGACATTGGCAAAAAAATAAAAAATAAATAAATCTGAAGTCATCTTTTTTGAGCATTGAAAATATATGTTTGGCCTTCACCTCGTCCTTCAAGATATCTGTTTACTTTTTAACTATAAATATTGTTTCTGGATTTGATCCTGCTGGTGATGAATACCTCATTAAATTAGAGTTGCATTGATGTTGTTGTTCTGTACATTGATTTGTTTGAACTTGTTCAGTACAATAGCACTTGTTTGGGGTGTGAGATGTTGTTGATGACACATGATTTGGACATGGTGAGTACAGTGTTAAGCTAGATGATTGTAAACAATTACATGGTACGATGCTTTTCGGTTCATTCAATGTATATTTTATCATTGTTTGATGTAGGGGGTCCAAATATTCAGATCTAAAATAAATTCGTAGTGTTAAAGGTCGTAGTTAATTTAAATTATAGTTTACTTGATGCTTTAAAAAATCATTCACAAAGTATTCGTTCGATTTTATGTTGAAAAAATCATTTGATGTACATTTTATTTAAGTGCATTTTGAAGGTGCAGCTCAATTTTTTTGTTTAGTTTATTTTATGAAGTGCATACAATATTGATAGACGTATCTCTAGGTTTCTTACGAAACGATTACGTTTATAAAGACTAACAGAAACAACAGAGTAACACCAAAATCTTAACAAATGACTTTTTATAAACGATACGCGGATACCGAATTCCTCATATATCATGAAGAAACTGATATTTAGGTAACTATAAGGTCTGTTAACGATGATTACCCATCATAAACCTTTAATTTAAGGAGGACATTGATGCCGATGTACTTAAAATGCCTTGGAAGATGTTGCGTCGAGAGATATTTAATGCGAAAATCACTGTACATAGTAAATGTTGCTAAGTATGAATACCAGAATATGCATGAAACAATTTATTCACTCAAACACACCATCTAACAAGACATCATAGAACAACGCAGATAAATTGTGTCCAGTATTTTGTAAAACTTTATCATTTAAAGACTTAACAACAACCAAAAGCAACCTTAGGAAATACTAGCGAGTTATTAAGTTCAAAATAGGCCTTCAAGACATACAGATGAATGGACTTCAACCAAAAACTAAATAGGTTCTATCAAAATATATGATATAAATGATTCAGTTAGATAAAATTTACCTCAAAACCTCAGGCGTCATCACTGCATAATGTTTGTCTGAAACAAAGAGAAAACAACTGATTATAATAAGCATTTTGAATTTGAATTTATGACCACAAATAGCTCAACCAAACAAAAAATAATAAAGTGTAAGAAAACATGAAGAAGAAATCAACTCGACCTGTGACACTATCTCTGAAAAATCTAAACTTATTGAACATGCAGTGAAACAATAACCTTATTCTGAATAACAGCGTTCAGAAAATGCCTTAATTTCCGTCAACATCTTTTGTATTTTCCTCAGCTGAATTTGTTGTCTTGCAAGACAGAATACAGCGTCATTCCTAATTACTTAAACCTTTTATTATTATACGGCATTACCAATTCGATACATACAAATGATGGTTATACCGAATGCATACAGCAGTATTTAATTTCTTGAATAAAAAGTTACAAATTGATAAAACAATTCCTCGACTATATTAGCTTTATTTATCTTAGCCTATCTCTACGATCGCTTAAGCAATGTCACGGTCATCAGATGTACTTATATGTAGAATACTACAACACTGAAATGAGCTTGTAGATGAACCTTACTAACATTGTTATATATTTATGCAGTACTAATCGTTAGTGAGAAATATAATTTCAAATCTCATTTCAAGATCTACGAAAATCAAATGATTGTAAACATTTTGAAAGGCTTATTACTTCCCCTTGAAAATAATGATAACAATTAATATTATAGTGATCAAGAACACCGATTGGGGACAATCGAATGTATTTTAGCACAACATTACAGAAAATCTCATTAAAATATGAGAACCATATAGTGAACGGTTAATTTGCAAAATAACAATCAATTGTCTCAATATGACTGCTTCTTCTGCAAATGTCCGTCCATAGTCTCCGATTATAATTGTTCATGCATTTTCGTACCAACTGCGTGCCTTTCTTGTTCTCTCCTTATCGATCTTCTACTGAAATAAATTCAATGCTTGATCATCACCATATACTACTTATGGGAATATCAGTAACCTACATCACAATATTATTAACTACGAAAATAATCCTTTTTAAGGCAAACTATTAACTCAACCTGTTTATATTTATGATCAATAATGTTTCTCAAAATTGGTATCATACCTGTTGTATCATCTTGTATCTCTTTTGTTATCTCTTCAGTATTCTGCATATTCTTTGCATTTTTATTTTGTTTATCAATTACTTGATAATTTTTTGATGTATCTAAAGTATAATAAGCTGAATTTTCATAATTAGATAAAATTAAATAAACTTGATCACAATTTGTATCGTTTGTTTGTTTTAAACATTGAATTGATTGATTTGAATTTAAATCTATAGTATTCAATAAATTTTGTTTAATATAATTTGGAGGCAAATAATGATTTGAATATTTATCAGAACAATTATGAATAATATGGGGGATATCTAATTGATCATGATCATTAGATATTAATTTTTGTTTAAATTCATTATTAATAAAATTAGATTCATATAAGTTAAATGAATCATTATTTAAATAAGTTTGATTTGTTTCATATTGATTATTTAAAATATTCATATTAGGTAATGTGACTATGATTTGTTTTTGATGATTTACTTTTATTGATTTATTGATTTTCTTTTCTTTTCTTTGTTTTAATCTTTTTTTAATTTTTTTAAATATTTTTTTAAATAATATAAATAATAAAATCAATATAATTATTATTGTACTAAAACTAATACAATAAATATACCAATATGTTTTTTTATTATGTTTATTTGTTATATAATAACTACTTAAATAAGTAGTATTTTTGGAAATTTTCATTTTATTATTATTTAAAGTAAAATTTTGTTGATAATTTTTTAACGATTCATAATATACTTGTTGAATTGCTTTATAAATAAGATAACGTTCATAATAAAGTGTTTGATTTAATGCATTTAAGATAGATGCTATAATAAAAGAAATAATTTTGTTTAAGTAAGAGAAATCAAATATTTGTTGCGTAATTAAACAGTGTAAAAAAAGAAAAAAAAACAAAACATATATTTGTGTTATGTATAAGATGAAAAAGATTAGTCATAAGATTGTCTCAATGGCTATATTCCGTGTTTTTTTTACTTTTTATCTCTATAAGAGGACTAATCCTGAAGGCCAAAAGAAAAGAGGAAGATCAAAGAACACATTACCCTAAGAAATAGAGACAGATATGAGAAGAATGAACAAAAATTAGATGGAACTAGAAAGGAAGGCCCAGAACAGAGTGGGTTGTAGAATGCTGGTCGGCGGCCTATGGTCCATTAGGAGTAACAGGTGGAAGTAAGAGGACTACCACAATCATATTTAGAGTTTTTTCATAATTATATAATAAGTGGTTGATATGTTGATATTTCGAAAGAAATATCATTACAAGTAGACATGGTTCAAATGATATATACAGTTTCATGATTGTTGATCTTTTTTTAAATATGAACACTAAGGTGCATTTATTTTCATTATGTTTGAAGATGGCACGAAGAAACATTTGATTATTCAAATTTTAACTTACAATGAAATAGGACTTATCTAACTAACTTTAATTTGATCTCAGAATTTAGAATCTTTTTCTTCGATTCTTGGACAGTTCTTGAACAAACAATACATAAAAATAATACTCTTGATTAGCATCTTTAAAAAATTACTGTAGTAAGAAGAAAAAGATATTCAGTATTATATTTTTGGTACAATATAGAATTCTTAGCAGAAAATATTTCAACAAGTTTTCGTTTTTTACTTCCCCGTCGATCGTAATGATAAATATTGAGTGATCACGAGTTAGAAGTTAGCAGTCCAGTCAATCGATATCTGAGTAATATACATTATTTTCGCTGCATATTGCCAGCAACCACGATATCTTTGATTTGGCCTTTTGTAACCTTTAGAGCGAAAAGTTGTACACTTTTCAGAAACGCACCTGAATAGGTTGTGCGATCAATAGCCATAATAATGTAATAAAACAAACAAAATTAGATAACTCATTGAAATATCTGGATGACAGGAACAGGGAGACCAGATTTTTAAACAGGCCGTAGTACGTTTCGAACAATCTGATAAAACATACTTGTTAAGAACAGTTATATGTAAAAATAAAAGGTCAACTGAACTAGAAATGGAGGATAAGAGAAGTAAAGGATAATAAAGTAAATAATATGAAAACAAGTTTAAACCTAATTATTCTGGATAATAAGTTAATATTACCAGCGTAGGTTTAAGGTGAGGACAAACTGATTTTGAATACACAAAAGGGGTTGGATTTTCAAATGGCTAAGACTTCAATAAACCATAGTATACGCTCTTTTACACTTTTGTACAGCACCACAAAAGCCGAGTTAAGATCAATCATATGACGCACAGCATGCACAGTATACGCACAGTATGCACATATGCCAATTAGGGGCTGACCAGCTGCAGTCCTAAAAACATCAATGGGAAGATCCAAACAAACAATACTAAGTAAATTTGAATCATATGACTTGTTTTAAATTTGTCTTTGGCAATAGAGCATGATTAATGTTTATCCTCTACTTTTATTTGGTCATTTGGTTTTTTATATGTAAATGTTCTCAACAAGTATATGTGTGACTAGATTGTTCGAAATGTATTACGCTATTATATATCACATACTTTTGATAATCTTCGTCTTCTTATTACACTATCAAAATTTATCAAAGGGACTAATTGCTTCAAGTCTATGAAACATTTTTTTCAAGAAACATATTTATTGATGTCAAAATAACTACTTAGAACTCAGGTTTTCATCTTTTTGAAATAGATTCAGTGCATTAATTGATCTCTTAAGAAAATAAATATAAGTTTTTGCAAATCAAATAACTGTTTGGTGTGTTCAAGGACAACGTAAGGTTTCTAAACAACTTGCGTAACAGTACAGGCTTATTAAGCATGTTTTTTCCCCATTAAATGTTGAATATTCCTTGATGATTCGTTTATGTAAACGCTGAAACAGATGATAAGGAATGAAGTAGTTAAGATCATCAACTACTTCTTCAATAGTTGAAGTTTTGTCATCCATGGTGGTTTAAAGTGTGATGACATCTTCCCACCCATTCAGATAAATACTGAACCAGATTTCTTTTGGTATAATTGAGGTACCCAACCGTTAACGAAAGACACAGTGTATTGAGAAGCTGCCCTCTCTGTCATACTTTATAGCTATGAAATATAGACGTAGGATTTTGTCTACATTTTTCTTTTAGTAGTAAATTTCAATTTTTTTCAAACTCACTGTCTTCACACTCGTTTTCTTAAACCATATTCTCGTTCATTTGCTTTTCTCAATATTATCGATACCACTATTTTTTCAAACTATTCGGTACAAATATTATTGGTTTAAGAACTTTGGCTAACCGACATTCGCTTAATCTTCATAATTGATAACAAACAACATATTGACATTAAAACTCATTTTTATCAATTTCATACTGAATATTGGTTAATTATAGTGTAAAAGGTGAAACTAAAAAAAATAGGACTTACGTAGTAAAGGGTGTTTAATAATTAACTCGTTGGACGGTTCACTCACTGACATTAAACCGAAAGATTTTACACGAAACCTCAATTCATAAACCAAGGAATTGTAATATAAATTAGTTAAAAATGAGTTTAATTCATTGTATTCAAAAGCTGTTCTGAATGCATCACTGTCAACTGTTAGATCTTCATTTCTGTTGTTATTTTCCAGTAAAAACATTTCATTATTATGATTTAATTCAAAAGTTAATTTGGGATAACGTACTGGTGCTAAGGACTTCCACCGATATATATAATTCTTACTATCAGTACAATTACTAATTCCAAATAGATGTGTATTGGAACTTGTGCAGACGATGAATTCTACTTGAAAATATGAAATATGCTCCGGTAAATCATTGTACTTCTGTTGAACATTTAAATGAAGTGATGAAATTTGCGGATTTCCTTGGACTTTCCATGTTAGAACGCTATTATACTGTTCAGTTTGAGTTATTTGTAGTTTTAATGATTGTGGCGACGGAGGTTTAGATGGGTCTGTGTCTGAGATACGGAAAAGATGATACCAAAAATATCAGTTTTAACAGTTGGATAACATCAGAAAAGGTTTCTACGTTGAGATTTATGCATATGTTTATTACAGTCATAAGAGGCAAACGTTTTATGTGTTCTTTACTTAAGAATGTACAAGTCTCATACGGATGAAATATACTTATAATTGATCACTAAGCATAACTTATTTTATGTATATTATGGACAAAACATTTTTTAGCCAAACATTACTACTTATAAAATAGCTTAAGGACTCTTTCATGACACACTACAAATATTTGACTGGATTACTTCAGGTTAATCAGGTATTCTACAAGATGTCCTCCATAACAGATTAGTGATAGATTTCGAATCCTTCTAAATGAGTAGAATTGATTTTCTGACAATTCACAACACAATGTTAACCATGAATAAATAGCATTTTTAATTTACCTTAATTTTACGTAGTTCAACGGATAGGTCAAATGAAACTATTGGTGAATGTAATCAAGTGAGGTGTTTATGGATTATTTGAGCATGTTAAGGTTTTATGTCATGGCTGTTGAACAAGGTATGTATTAGTAAGAATAGTTTTACCTTTTATTCAAGCTTAAACCCTCCCCACTTCTGTGTTAATTTCTCCGTAGATAGCTTTGATTCTGTGTTGCAATAATATTTTTAGCAGTTCTGTCTACTTCACAATCGGTCAGTCACAACGTAGAATCTGGTATGCATATACACCCGTTTACGCTTTCAAACACTGTTAGCACAACGAGACGAAGTCGTTGGGGCGAATCGCAGAGCAGTAGAGGTAGTGACGGTATTAGCGGTAATAGAAAAAATTAGTCATCGAAAAATGCGAATCAGAAAAATATAAATTAGTGACATAAACAAATTCTGAATAACTCGGAATCTTAGCTTCCAGGGTAGATAAAGAATGAATGCATGTGAACCAGTCCAAACGACTTTCTGCCATGTCATTCAAAGTCTTCAGCCGCTAGTTACGATAATCACGCGCATGTCAACCAAATAGTCTACACCTGTTAACAGTGACTCCAAGGATTGTTATTATGCTTTATTCCGAGCACCCTTTCCCTCCTTACAGTTTACGTTTACATCAAATAAAATAATCTGTCGAAGTCGGGAGTCGACATTCATACGTAACACAAGTCCTAACCACCGTATAAATCTATTTACCAACTACAGCGTTAAATCATGATTTTTCTTAGGAGCATTAACTTAATAATAATTCCCTTATTTCAGTATATTTTATTATTAACCGCAGTAAGGTCAATAAGTTGGAAGATATTAGTAGTTTCTCTTCTTTTGTTGAGATTACTTTATACTACAACTGTAGTAGTTTAGTGTGAATGAATTTGGAGAAAAAGAAAGTTTGGTGTTGAATGGATTTATCATTACAAATTCACTTATAAATAGTAAGTTGGAAGTATTAGAGATTTAGAAGAATTGTTATTGATTATTCAAAAGTAATGCATACTGTGTTAAAAAAGATCAAATTAATTGCGCCGTGTTAATCAACCATTACAATAATATCATAAACTTTATTGTAAAATACAAATTTACAGGAAGATTATAGCGAAAATTGACTCTTACAAACGTTAGAAATAGTGATAATGTATTTTATTACCATGTTCAAACTCCAAATATTGGGTATTGTTGTTTGTTAAAATTAATCCAGCATTTTGCTTCAATGGTAACCCAGTCCTAATCAATACTGTAGAACTAGTCGAGTGATTATGGTTCGATGGTGTACACCAATGATTTATTCGAAAAGCATACAGCTCGTTTGGAATAAGTCCATTTAACCGTATTCGACTAGTGTATTCTGGTTGTACAATAGCTATATGTGAGAAATTGGCACAAAATAAAACAAAGTATTAACATTTTAAAACATTTATAATAAGAAATTACAAATTACAGTATTAAAGCAAGGTTTAGTTTATATTCGAATGATTAGAACCTTGTTGCTATTCAGTTTTTTAGCTCAACTCTCATAGACAAACAAATTAAAGTCTATTTTTTGTACAATATACTGACGTTGAGTGCAGCAACGGAATAAATCAATGTTTTTATTTTGTGTAAAACAGTCTAAAATATCAAACCAGATTGGAAAACATGAACAATCACTATGTTACTTTTCGGGGATTTTCTAAATCTTTTCATTGAATTCCTCTATTATATAATGAATAAGTCTTTAATTTTGAAAACGCAAATTTGACAGATTCAATAATTTAAAGTATTGGAATTTGTATGAAATCTAAACCATCATAGGGTGATTGAATATAAATTCATCATTTACATCAGCTTCAGTACATAAAATTGGTCATTTGATAGATGAATTTTACGTGCCACGTTACTTTTCCCATAAATGAATGTATTTCCTGTAACAGAAAGATACTTACAATTAAACTAATCATCTCTATATGTAGAAAAGTTATTATTAGATGGGTTAAAACTAACCTGTAAGTTTTACACAATGAACAAACTACTAAATAGTATTTTGTCATTAAAGAAAAAGTCTAACACTCGTTTGTTTGTTTCTCTTATAGTTATTCATGCACCATAATGTCACTTAACAGATACAATGAACTAAGTTTATGTATGTGCTTCAACAATGGTAAATATGTACCAGTTGCAGAGTAGAATATTAAAAAAGATACGTAACATACTATATTTAACCAAAGATTTATGCATGATTAGTATTAAATAAATGCTAACATTTTAATTATTGGATTCGTTATGTTCTTAGAGGAGATTACACAGATAGCATAGAATACCTACTTGTGATCCATTCATCACCTGATCGAACCGGTGAATGATACGTTACGTAATAACACTGTTTGCCGATGGTGTCAAAAGTAGTATCCGAATGCAACATACCAGGTAGTTTCATTTTATTCCAGGATAATATTGCAGAGTATATTAAAGGTTTGACATGTAACATAATGTTATTAAAAATTCGATCATATAGTTGTATTGCTAGATCTTGTTTTATTTCGACTGACGTTATAATATGACCAATAGAGTTTTTAGCAATACAAAAATACTGTCCAGTTACTTTTGATGCATTCCAAGTGTAGATGAGAAGACTTCCATCTGGCATTTTGTTCACACCACCAGGTAAATTAACATCAAAGATTGATTTTTTATTAATTGTTCTGTGTTTTTGAAAGGGATAATGGATGCTATGATCAGTAGTATTGAATATTCCATTTTCAACTTGTTCATTAATATCTTCTCTATCACAATCATCATGTTCTTGGTCTACCACAATATTCTCCGTTGCTATGTTTTGTGTTTCTTTGTTTAGACTTGTGAGCATAACAGATTTTGATGAATTACTTCCAAGTTGATTTAATTTACTCTGAAATCACAAGAAATACAAGAGCATTAAAGAAGAATATACTGTAAATTAGAATACATAAGAAATTACATATATAAGAAATCAAGTTTATTTTCTTTTTTTAGAATAGTTTACGAATATATTCAATAATAAATTTCTCATCAAGGGTAAAACGAATATGAACAAACAATAAAACGTTAACAATTCATCTTGTATCAGGAAGATACACCAACATGGTTTTCCACAAATACTTCCAGTTATTAGATTGTATTTGCATAAATTATTCCTTTTAACTATGGTTAGCTTTGAGTATCTTGAACAGATATTGAGTATTTATAAATAGTTGTCTATGCAAGATACTCAATACCCGTTAGCTGGATAGCATTAGCAACAGCATACTGTGGGAGAAATCAAACCACCTTCAATCTGAAGAGGAAATTAAGGAAAGACATTGTAAGTGGATCGGACATGCACTATGAAATCACCCAACTGCATTGCGAGGCAAGCCCTAACTTGAAATCCTGAAAGGAAACGAAGAAGAGATAGAAGAACACACTACGTCGGGAAATGGAAGCAGATATGAAAAAGGTGAATGACAAATGGAAAGAACTGTAAAGGATTGCCCAGTACAGAGTTGGATGAAGAATGCTGACGCTCCCCCACGTGGGTAACAGAAGCAAGTAAGTAAGTATGGTTAGCTTTATTATTTATCGGTTACTGCTATTTTCATAGGACAATACTGATTATTTTTCCTCTTTTTGTAGAACAGAAGTTTTGACACAGACTTGAATTGAATTAACATTATACCAATTTGTATTTATTCATTAATTGTGTTTTTCATATTCATGACAAATAATACTGATAAATTAATGCGATACTCATATGATAGAAAAATAATATTTCATGGGTTAAATGTTTAAAATCCCATTTTTTCTGGATTTCGCAAAACATTAAAACATAATTAACGTACATAAAACCATTGAATTATTGGTTTGGGTTGTCCATAGGCTTCACATGGTAGTATTAAAGGTACTTTACTATTTACGAATTCAACTGATTTTGGCTTCCTTATAAACCGAGGTAGTTCTGTATAACAATAAAAATTCAAAATTTAGAAAGTTCAATGTAATTAATTGTAATTAAATTGGATTTAACTTCTCTTACGAGTAACGGATAACTTCTACGTGTATATACTAAATCTGATCCTGAGTCAGTACGAGTATAAAATACTTATAATATCAGTCCGTCTTTGTTATTTACTTAAGCAAGACATGCTTATTTACTTGTCTTAGCTTTTCAATGTTGGCTATTGAAAGTCTGTCACTGTAAAGCCGCAAAAGCTGTTGACGAGACTCTTTTTGCTAAAAGTTGTCACAGAAGCTAGTATTTTATAAGAACGTTACTTATAATTTGAAAAAAGTAGTTTCTCAATTGTTGGTCACCAAATGTACAGATAGCAATAGACAGTCGTTTAATAAACAGATTTCCCGTGAACCCTTTTTGTAATCGATAATCTCGATTTTTGATTGTTCCCTGAGGACGTTCGGAATAGCATTGCAGTAATAACCAAGTTTATTCACTAAGAATTTTGGAAATATAGATTGTTTTTGATGAAAATCTAAATTCCAATTAATTGAATAATAAAACTTTGACACTAATTTATTTTCATATCACAGAATACACTTTTTCGAGCTGTAGAAAAGCATAGACGTTTGTGAGGATTGTCAATAAAGACTATTCAATTGAACATACTTTAGATATATTTGCTTTTAGTCATATATGTGTATATAATTTATGTACTGCAGATAAATGGTGTAATGAAAAGTTATCGTTTATTAAATACTCACATTCTGTATCAGATTACTGGAGAAATAGATATTTCTTCAATTCTAAGGTTAAAAAGTAGAAGCCCAACGTCAATAATTCATTTCACAAGTGTTGACTTCTTATCAATTCAATATAATTCATTAAAATATACACTTAACACTTTTTAAAATGTTTTTGAACTTTATAAATTAAATCAATTTTTTATTTATTATTTGACTTAGCAACAATTAAGATAAATGTCTGTTCAATAAATTATACTTACCGTTTACAATTACTTGTAGTTTTGGAGACCATGAACTCCATCCAATTGTATTACGAGCTCGACATTGATAAAATCCACCATCACTTTCTTTTACAATATCCCATTCATACCAATAAATAGTGAAAGACTGAAAGAAGTATAAAGTATGAAAATAATCAGATTGAAAAAAATCCTTAATTTTATGAAAAATTGTGTTTACTTTTTAAATTCTCTAAAAGTTTTGTTTATTTGGTTGAGTTGTTTTCTGACATTATTTTGATTTAAATATGATATTTTGTTGCTAACTAAAGTCATTAATATAAACTGTTGATGGGCTCATTTCAAATCACAGTGAAATAAGTATCCATTACTATTTTTTTGTATTTCAAATATTCATGAATTGATATAAGAACGAGATGAAAAAGCTCTCGAAATTCAGTATATATTTGTTCAGTTTTATTTTATCTCAATTGGATGAATTATATAAGCTTATTTCAATTCGCAGCTGAACTGAAATTTGTAAGTATCGACTTGAATTAAACTTATTTGTATTGCATATAATTGAAATCATGAATCGATTGAAGCTAGTCTAACATGAAAACCTGGAATCACTGGACGGCCGTTTTGTCTTATTGTGAGACTCCTCAGCATTGAAAAGCAGTAATTAGTTGAGTTCAAACAGGTCTGTCGGGACATATCAACTCACTGAAGACATTGGTGAATGGTTGCTCAATTTCGTGGGTTGGTTTAAGATAAATATTAACACCATTGGATACCGGCCGGCTCAGCGGTCTATCGATTAGGTGCTCGCACGCGAGACTGATAGGTCCTGGGTTCGAATCTTGTGGGGCGGGAACGTGAGTGCGCACTGCTGAGGAATCCCACAATAGGACGAAGAGGCCGCCCAGTGCTTCCTGGTTTTCCATGGTGGTCTAGCTTTAATTGACTCATGATCTCAACTATATAAAATTACTAAAATCTTCACAAAACCTTCTTCTATTAATTGTATTGTGTTAATTATTTGTAGTCAATTTATTATTTTAGTTGATTAGTATTTTTAACTACTACTAATTAGCAGTAAATTAATTTTAATGAAATTTTCAATAAGCATAATTTTTGTCATATATAATATTATATGATTTTTCTGTATTCAATTTATAAACTATCACATGTATACTGATTTGGTTAATTTGTACTATTGTTGACATTTCAAAAAAACCGCTAAATAAAATGTAACAAAGTTACTTTCATTCCTGATTGTCAGATTCATTTTAATGTTTTAGTAGGTTCTTTACAAATCATGATGGTAACTTTATATATATATATATGTTAATAACAATTTCCAATAATACGTGTCATAAATATGATAAATAACTAAATATAAGCGTTGATGCATGATTAATATCAATGAACTGTGAGAAAGAATATTTTCGTTTTTTAAAAGACCTATGGAATTATGTGATGTAATATAGGACAATAAGATACTTTATATTTATGTAACAAAACGTGCTCAATTTTGCAGTGAACATGAATGAATATATGTTTATTAATGTTGTATTATGTATTCCTTTTCAATTAATTGGACAATATAACTGTTTAGACTAAAATGATAACTATGATACGCTAACAACATATATAACATGTAATAAGCGAATATCGTTATTTCAAAATTATTCAGCTGAATAAACAATGAATATAGTGTAGTGGCAGTGAAATTTAACTAAGCCCTAGCCAAATCATCCGTGAGTTTGGTGACTGGATATCTAACAGATCATCGATCCCTGTTGAAGTCAAGGACAACAAAACGCACATCAGGTAAACATACGCCATGGACTGGCTGATGCGATGGTGGTCTCAATAAAATCTCTGTACTCATTCTTACTAATATATTTACGTAATCTTTGTGTTATACAGTCTTCAAAGCAGACATAGTACTTTAATACGTCGAATGGAGTAATCCACGTTAGATGCTGATCATGAGGTGTGACTTCGAAGTTAGCTTGTTCGTTACACCGTTCCCATCTAAATCGAGTAGGCCCCCAATCACTCGAAATAGATCATCAACGTTGATGGTCTACAATACTTCAGTGAAGTAGAAAATGAAGTTTGATCAGTAACATCTGAAAGTTTATGTTAAAATGGTGACTGAGTAAGGAATTTTCGTCAACCTTCAAAATTACGAATATTTCATTGGTGTTCTCATCATCCCTTGAACTGGGATTGCCATTGGAAAAATTAAATATTCATGTAAGTCTGTAGTAATAAATAAATTTTGTTACGGTATAGAGTTCTCCCTATCAATTATGCGATATTTCAGTAAATTTCCCCTCAAAGTACATTTAGATCGTAATCATTGAAAAATTATATTCTATAATTTCTTACTCAATACTCAACATTATGAAATCATTTTTAATGATGTTAGTTTACTATCAGTTTAGGTGGTACAACTCTTATTTTACCTATAAAATATTTTTAACATATGAACTTCGCCAATCCTTCATTTTTTTAAAAAGAATATACAGAGAAACGAATTGGTCAACACGAACAGCATTTCAGTTTGAGACTTCCAGAATTCAGTATAGACATAGATCATCATTCTTTCATAATATCTCATGAGTAAATACAGTTTAGTTTCATCATTATTCCTTCAAACAAATATCATAAAAAAGTTTATTGCAATCACTACACAACTGGAAAATGGTGGTCTTAAATACGTTTAAGTAGGCCACCATATATGAGTTTAAGTTATGCTAAACAAAGCAAAACAAATATTATTCATTCAAAATACTGAATGGTTGGTGTTCTTTAAGACAGCAACGAAGGTTTCAACATAAACTGTATTAATTTGAGCATATCACATTATTTGTCTGCTGTTTAGAGAATCTTAGCAAATCAATTACAGGATTTCTTAAAGTGTAACTCACCTTGTACCTAATGTGATTCTAAAGTTTGCGAATAACTTCATTTCACATCTTTACACGTAGCTATCGCCTAAATTTACATTTGATAAATTAACAACCATAAAATGTTACAGAGAAGTTTAATTTTTAAATATTAAATAATTAATAAGATTAGTGAGATTAGGGAATTCACTTTCTCACTAATGCATTTGTCATAAAAACTCACTATGTGTACTTACCGAACTAGTATTTTCATCTCTTAAAAGTTGTTCAACTGGTAAAATTGTACCCATAGTTTTAGAATTTTGTTGAAAAGACCTAATTATTATGTTAGAATGTGATTTTATTGATGAATTTATTAATTTACGCCATTCAATCAAATCGATAGAAGGTGTTGCATCAACAATACATGGAATACGTCCTGGACCATTTCTACCCAAATATATTGGATTTATAGAATTGTTAAGTTGAATATTTGGAATGTCTACATTTTGAAATGAAATGTTATTTGTTAAAACAATAATATTAAAATGATAATTTTAAAAAAAATTGTGGAAGTACATTTGTCAAATAGAATGAATAACAAGATTTCACATTTACATTTATTTACATTCTGGTAATACTGAAAATGTAAATACAAACAATTTCATCAATGAACTTGTACTTCTACTAAGACGAAGTCAGTAGTTCAGTAATTTCTTCGTAAATCAATCTTACGGTTTATCATTCTTGATTTTTTTTTTACTAAAACACTGTAATATACGTATACACGATCCTCATATTTCAATAGTACATATTAGTTCGTAATAGTCTTCAGTCAGTTTAAACTGTTTCGCTTTCTAATTGATTAAACTGAATTTATTCCTTTAAAAAATAAATTCTCAATATCTTTTTTCTAAAAAAGCGTAAGAATTTCGAACTGAACTAAGTCAGAAGAACCTAAAACAATGAGGTATCAAAATAGAGAGGAACAATAATGATTAAAATTATTAAACTTTATATTAATCAGAATGTCTTATTTGTTTTATCATTTACTCCAGTTATATACCATGAATATGAACTTCGACTTTTGAATGCTGAAATAGTAGGTTGCATGTAATTTTCTATTTTTTAAACTTACTTTCATAATTATTATTACAAGTTTGCTTTAGCTTTCTGTTATTAATTCAGTAGATTCAGCTTAAAAAGGAAATAACATGAATAAACAAAGTTTAATATATATTTATGACGACACTTTAAATACTTTAACAGCAGTAATGTTGATAAATGGATTAAATTCAAGTGTTTTAATGAGGACAGTAACTCTAATGATTCGAAAAGTACAATATTAATTTTTCATTATGGTTTAATGAAGCAGTTTTTATTGTTTGAGATCATGAGTGGGATGCCTTCGTCATATTGATTGATTGATTTCGCATTAAATTTGTAAAACTATTCTGGATCAAATGCTTAAAGATTTCAACAAATTACACAAAAAATTTAGTTTAAGGTTGTATTTTTTCTGAAGATAAGTGGCTTGTTCAAGATATTGAAAGACGAAATTCAGTAAATTTCTTAACAATTTATCTTTTTATGAATAAAATGAAGTACTACATTGAATATCTCAAACAAACGACACTGAAAACAAACTGAAGTAAACATCAAATTACTTTATGTTGGTGAAACATGACAATTTATATCATGATTGGATGAGAACCAACTCACTGTTTATTGAAATGGTTTCACTGTCAATAAATATACGACATATGTCAAATAGTTAAATTGTTCACAATTTGAAATGCTAATGATTTTAACTAAATAATTTATATGTTGTACGATGCTATTATATGTTTGTCCAATACTCTAACATTAAAACATTACAATTTATAGAGATATTCTAATGGGATCTTAATATAAGTGTATCCTTGGCGAGAATGTTACTCACTAAATTCAATGAAAGATATCTCACTACATAATGAATTGAATGAATTTCGAAATATATATTGTTAGATATCACCTTAGTGGCCTAAGTACAGACCGTTTATTACTAAATTAAATCTCTTGAGTTCAGTTCACAACGGTTCTTTGGCTGTTTACAGCTAAGAAGTGCCGAAGTAAAGCAAAACAGCTGTTTTGTTCTTTCTGGTTTTTAATTTACCTGCATTTAGAATCAGTATGTTGGATAATCAAATGTAGGTAAAATATTTAATCAAGTAAGCAACAAATGATACCACTGTAGTGGTTTGTAAATATCTTATGAATGAAATACATCAGTGTTCTGACATTGTTTAAAGTAATGTTGTTTAGCGTTTATGATTTAAATTTAAAACACAAACTGACCAGATCGATTAAATGGTGCAATAGAAAAAGCATCTAAATTTCTTTTTCAAGGCATCACTATACACTAGTCAATATCAACTGTTAAGTATATACACCAATTAATTCATAATCAATACATGATGTAAAATATTTTACTGTGTCTACCATTGACTTATTCATAAACCGATACAAAAATATATGTAAGATACCGAAAAATTGATTAATTCATTTATATACTTGAGATGATGAGTCAATTGAAGCTAGACCACCACGGAAAACCTGAGAAACCTGGTCTATAGGTTAAGTGCTCACGCGCGAGACTGATAGGTCCTGCTTTCGAATCTTGTGAGGCGGGATCGTGGATGCGCACTGCTGAGGAGTCCTACAATAAAGCGAAACGGCCTTTCAGTGCTTTCAGGTTTTCCATGGTGGTCTGGCTTCAATTGACTCATGATCTCAACTATATAAAATTACTAAAATCTTCACAAAAACCCCTTCTGATAATGATTAATTATTTATTATTAATTCAAATTGATACTAAGCTTCTTTTCAATCAAATCCTTTCCAACCTTTACGTGTTTATGATACAAGATTTCTCAAATAATTTCAAAGATAAAAACCTCCATAATCTTTGTTTTTAACAGAAGGCTTAGCTGAAGGGATTTATTCATTTTTATTATTATCTTCCAGAAACCAGTAATGTTTCTCTAAAATATCATTTATCTGTCTATTCATAGTTCTACTACTATACTATTTTTATAAAAATATGTAAGTTTATTATTACCGCTTTATCATGATCGATTTGTAAATATGATTGGGAGTAATTCATAAAATACAAACAGAAAACTAACTGTTTTGTGTAGTTATTAGTTTTGAAACAAATTCAAAAATGTCACAAGTTCTATCGAAGCACATCCAACATAGTCAAATGAAATTTTCAGCAGTTCACTAAGTTGATGTTGTTAGAAGTGAACTGCTTAATCTATTAATACTGGAAAAAAAAACTACAATGTTATTTTCATAACGAGAAACTAATAAAATCACGAATGAGCACTTTATCTAGGCTTGTAACTCTTTAGGAGTATGAAAAAAACATTTATTATAGTTTTCTACATATATATGTAACCGGGTGTAGTCAGTCTTCTAGTTTACTTATCAATTCCGATCACTTTCTCAATCAAGACTTTTAAGTATACATCTTGTCTACACACATTTGTAAAAACACTTTATGACAATCTGTTTCTAAGATTGTAATGTTATAGTTAGAAAATGAGATTGTTTAGACTCTAAAGAAAATGATTATTTCTTTAATTTATGATTTCTTCAGCAGTTAGACTGATATACTTTGAAATATTATACTAGCCATCTAACTAATGACCTAACACATCGAAATCATTATATTAGTCATTAGTGTTTATAATAGAAGTCATATTTTGTAGCTCATAATACAAAGCAATTTGTCTATACCAGTCAATGAATATATTTTACTAATTAAACTTAATTAAATAGATAATTAGAATCTATTCCTTCTATTCTATTTGTTATTTGCAATATGAACTACTATAATCTATCAGACAACTGTGAAAGTCGAACTTTCCAGCATATATATATGAGCTAATAAGCTACAAAACGTTGTTAATTCAACGTTATTTGGATATTTGATACACATTTTACTGATAAGTGAAACCATTTAATTTCAAACAAAAATTAAATTCAGTAGGTATGCTAAATTCGTTTTATAATTTTCATTTGGAAACATTAGATATTGTAAGCAGTCGATAAAAACTTAATGAGATATGATCGAATGATGTTATCCTACTGAAGTTGTTATCCTCAATCTTTTTGTTTACTGATTTGATTTTCATCTTAAAATACATGTCTTTTACTAAGTCTTCATGTATTTCTTTGTCATATGGTAAGACTATTTCAATTAGCTTTGACTAGCTATGCGAAGTGTCACATTATATATATGACCTTAACTCTGAGAAAACTAAGAAAAAATTATTTCAAAAGTTTAGATGTCAGATATTTTTCAATGAGCTAAGTAGTTATCTATAACTTATGTGTTACAATGCAAGTTTTCCATTAAGACAATATTTCCTTACATTTTACTATTTCATTTACTTCATTGTGCTGATGTGTTTGGATTATGGTTCTAGTAAATATCGCTTTTTATATATTGACTCCATTACAGCGTAACTGGTGATGTTTTTATGAATATTTTCTTCGGTAAAAAAATCTGTTTTATTATTTAATTTTTTTGAAATTATCAGTTTTTAAAGACAATGCAATTTAAATATATGGCCATAAAAGTATACCACAATGGTTATATTTTACTTATTTTGTGCGTCTATATTTGTAGATGAGTTTTACTCCGGCAGACCAAACCGAATAAAGAGTAAGGTTCATATAAAGTTTAATACTATTCTTTCTGATGATAGATTAATAAAGTTTAAACAACGTATTTATTTTGTAACCACATTAAAAAAAAATCTCTACATAAATATACATTTTATATAGTCGAAATCGTGAGTCAATTGAAGCTAGACCAACATGGAAAACCTGGAAGCACTGGACGGCGGTTTCATCTTATTCTGGGACCCCTTAGTAGTGCGTGTCCACGATCCCGTCCTATCTATATAAAATTACTAAAATCTCCAAAAAACCCTCTTCAAATATACATTTGGCAGGACATTTCTAAAAATAATTACAATATTTTAGATATAAAAGTCAGAGGATATTTTACTGGTAATCTTAAACTTATTAATCAGTTCACCATATGACTAAACTATGTTATCATTAAGAAATACTTGTGACAGGTATTTCTTTTTACTTTAATTAAATATGCTATTATGTTTCATATCCTATGAAATGATGACTTGATTAATATTATGATGTCAAACTATTAATGTAAAAAGCCAGATTATGATTTTTTTTCTTGTTATGACAATTTCTATAATTACTAAAATTTTCTGTTCAGTAATATATATTTTATCACTTAGGTTAGACTTGACGAAATGTTGCGTGAATAAAGTTGAAATGGTTAGTAGTTTTGGTTATATTTAGTGTATTATATGATAAGTAAATATGCTCAATAATAAATTACCTAGGTCAATAAACATTTTTTCTTACCATACAAAGTAACATGAAAATTAATGCTTGAGGTTTCTGACATAATTTCAATTCAGGCTACATTACAATGTATATGGTATAGCAGATTACGTATAATTGAGTTGGTACATTTTTAACTTGGTCAAGCCTTTCCTGTTTACTTATTTAACAGCCAGTCATTCGTACAATAACAACCTATATATTTTATTGTACGTTTATTATGTATGCTTGAGCATTGTTTACTGTTTACGCATATATTCAGTTTGCTAGACTTACTACACGCTTGCTCTACGGCACAAATCTTTCATGCTTGCTTAACGTGCCTGTAATTTCGGATATCTGATTGTGGTCCAATAATAAACGCAATCAAGACTTATTGTTCTCCTTCCGATTTATACACCGTTGGGACGTTATCGAGTAACGGTTATCAGGACGAACAATATACGAAGCTTAAGGATAATATTGAATATCGACCACCACAATGGTATACATATATATACATATACTTAATTTATTAAACAATTATTTAACTAAACACATTACAATAACTGTAAATATAAGATGAATGAAAATAAATTATCGAATTTCAGCAAGATATACAATTATGCGAAATTGTTTAGTAGTATAGAATGGATACTGATAATCATCCCACTTCTTTAACTAATTACAGCATAGAAATCTAGATTTATTTCTTTTTTTAAATTTTGACTTTTGTGTTCAAAAGATTCTGGGTTTATTGATTTGATCTTCTGGAAAGTTTTCTTCTGCTCTACTTCAATCTGATTTATAGTGAGTTGATTGGTGTTTCATGTTATAGTTTTCTTAATGATTTATATCACTTTTGAAATTTTATTCTTATGTCATCATCCGTCTAATTATGATGTAGCATATTTTGCTCGGAAACAGAATTTATTTATAATCGAATAAACTTACCAGTCATTTCGTAATAAACCATTATGCAGTTAAAGATTATTGGTTTATAAGAGACATTGTAGATCGTATACTTCAATGTTGAAAGTTTTAGCGGTCGAAAGAAAATTATTTATTAATGAATCTTCTTCAATATGTATTCATGAAGTTTCTTTTCCGTTTACTAAAACAGCAAATCCTAACGTGACATTTCACCTGTTTTCTCTTACAGTATAGTTAGTCACGGTTAGGAATGCCTTACTACAAACCTATTCTACTATATGGACATCAAACTATTAAGTTTTTGATCAGGCAAGTAAACACTTTTCATATTAATGCATATGTACACATATAAAGTGTTTATATCTCAGACCGACGTCGGCTAAACAATCATTAAATACTAGGTATGCTTTTATCATCGATAAGGTCGGGAAAGACCAATTCTTTGGAGCTCCAAGGTATGAATAAATAGGTGTTCAATACTTTGTGGTTTTCAATGACTGTTTAACTAAGATCAGTCCGTAATGTATATTATAAGATTCAGAAATCTCCACAATACCAATATATCAACAAAGCTTCTTGATTTCGATCAAAATGTTTGATTTTTTACTAGTCTTTTAAATGAACACATATCAACTTTAATGCCAACAAACTTTGCTTAGTCAATTAAAAATATTTTTATAAACTTTTATATTAAAATGAACCTTAACATTCTACTCTCTTAAATGAAGAAAATCAAAGTGGGTGATTGAACAAAATATTGTATTATTTTTTGTATACTATATATTCTGCTTACTGAACGTCTATCATCTTTCAGTGACTGCCTCTATAGATATTTCAACAACAACAAAAATACAGGTTTGTTCTAAATTCTATATAATTAATGAAGTGAATAATTCACGGTTTAAGATATATTTAGAATAAGATAAATAGAGGTCTTTTATAATATTGGTAATCTTTCTATGTGAACATTCTTTTTTCGTAGTAAATGTTTGCTCACCTACTCCTGTTATCCCTAGTATTCTCCATCCAACCCTGTCCTGAGCAATCCTTCCCAATTCCTTTCATTTGCCATTCATCCTTTTCATATCAGCTTCCATTTCCCGACAAGGTGTGTTCTCCGGCCTCCCGCTTTTCCGCTTTTCTTCCGGATTCCAATTTAGGACTTGCCTCGTGATACAGTTTGGTGGTTTCCATAGTGTATGTCCGGTCCACTTCCAACATCTTTCCCTAATCAGCAGAAGGAAGAGAAGGGGGGAGTGTAGACACTTTTCTGACTCCGGTCCTTACTTGGAATGCATCTGTCAGCTATCCTCCATGCACGACTCTGCACTTCAGTCCATCGTATGAGTTTTGGATAATGTTGACAATCTTCTCAGGAACACCATAATGTTCCTCGGCCCACACTGTCAAACGCCTCCTCATAGTCTATGAGGTTGATGTATAGTGACGAGTTTCACTCAAATATTTGCTAGTTCCTATTAATGATTTAAAGTGTGAAAGTCATGAATATCTATATGAATCTGCTTAGCAATTTATCAGTAAAAGATTTTCAATGAATAGAAATGGAAACAATATGGTTAGTATTTTTAGAATGTTCAGTTAATTGGTATAATTAAACAGTTCGTATTATAAAAGGAAATCAACAATGTGTAATAATTACCAACATGCCACTGATCTTAATTATACTTTTTTAGACTAGTCTTTTGAAAACAGATATTATTGCATGTAACCAGTGGTTAAATTAGGGTGATGGGAGATGTTTACAAATGATGTGAATCGGCCTGAAACAATCTATGATTAAGTACTGTTTGATACTTATTTAAATGAACAATAACAGATACTCATGATTCATTATTGACTCGCAAGTCTGTAGGCTTATGCGTATGTTTGTGATAATCACTTCACATAATTCCGGATGTGTCTCACAAACAATAATAGTTCTAAGATGTGATCTTGTGCCGATTTATACTGAAAAGCAAAATAAAGCTGCCTAGTTGCTATTTATTTGAAACGTAATTTCATTGATACTGCTAAATCTAATGGTCAATGATGTTTATCTGTTTACAGTCCATAGAATCTATTTAACATTACATTTTTCCATTTCATTTTTCTTCAGTAAAACAACAAATGATACTTCAAAAGTTCAATGAATACCATAATAACATACATTGGACATTTAACCAGGCAGATGCTTCTAAACTTTGTTTCACCTTTTCAAGTTCTTCATTATATCCATGTTCAGGATTGCGTAAATATTCAGATATGAAATCAATATGTCTTTGATTATTGTTATTCACTTCAGTAGTCAGAGGTTTCAAGTAATTAGGCTGATTATTTGAATATTTAAAAATCACTTGACATGTATAGATTCCAGTATCATTACGATTAATTTGTGTAAGATATAAACTACCATTTTGTAAAATTTGATAACGATGTTGAATGTCTGGTTGTAAATTGATATCTATTTTATTTTTTAACCTGTAAAGAAAAGCCAGAAATTTATAATAATTATTTCTTTTATAAACTGTAATAACTAAAGGTAATGAGTTTTAAATCGGTTGACTTATTCATCAATGAGATAATCTGAAACCTTATTGGAATGTATTTATATACGTTCTAAAAATGGTCGACATAGCTTGACATAAATAGATAATTGAAGGTAGCATATTCTAGCTAAGAGATTCAATATAACGAAATGTTAAAAAAATGATACCGCAGGTGGGATCGTGGATGCCCGATGCTGAGGAGTTTCATACCAAGACGAATCTGCCGTCCAGTGCTTCCAGGTTTACCATGGTGGTCAAGCTTTAAATGACTCATGAATTAAATTATATAATTACTAGGATCTCCACAAAACCTTCTCTGATAAAAATAACGACGTTGGGTTAAAACACTTGAATAGCTAATAATTAACAACCTGATATAATGTAAGGTATAAATCCTAAAGCTCAAAATTTCACATGTGATTAGGCAAAACACCGACACGATACATCAATAAATACAAATCCAAACGAGTTGGAACATAGCTATCAAACTGTTCTATTAAATATAAAATTAATTCTGATTTAAATTCTACATTTGGATTTTTTTTTAATCATGATTGTCTTCTATTTATAAATATCCATTGTTTTATTTTCTTTATACAATCCTTTCTAACAGTGTAATTTGACATAAGACCGCTTTCATACAATTCAATCTCTATAGAATTAAACTTTGATATGATATTAAATTGAATATCTTCAAATATAGAATAAAAATGATTCAAATACGTTTGAAAATAACTTTTTCAATGTTCAGAGATTTGTGTTAGATCAACAGTCTATTTAAGTTAAGCATTGATTACTAAGGAACAAGAAGGGCTTACACTCTACATATTTATCTACTACCTCTCTTCTGTTACTATTTATACTGATTTGTTTTCATATTATTTGTCTGGAAACATTAAAAATATAAAAATAATGAGTCGCTGATAATACTCTCAGTCTGACCAAAGAATATAACGTTCATGGAAGTTATTCACGCTGATGTTAGCCTACATTATGAAATAAAAGTTACTGTGAACGTCCAAGCATTAGACTGTTGTTTGAACGAATCTGAATGGTACAAACAAGCTGTTTCATACATTACTTGGCCTCGAAAGTTCACATCTCATAAGTCTTAATTCTGTTAGAATATAGTTTCATTATTTAGTGATCCTCATTTCCAACGTCCGTCAATTTACAATATAGAACCAGGATTACATAATTTTATTTTTTATTCTCATCTCACTTGTAACATATCATAGCCGTCGAAATAATGTTTATATAAATGATAATAAGAACATATAACCAAATATCGTCTGAAAAATTGACGAAGCATGGAATAATATTAAACCATATTCGATATCAGTTCTTAATTAAAATGACTTTATAATCAATTTCTGGTACTACACAGTTGCTATTGTTCACTGATATTAGCTTTACTTGTCCTGTCATAATAAAACTATAGCACAATGAAAGATTTATAGTGTTTTAGAATGACTAGTGATCGTGATTACAAAAATTATAACAATTTCTGTACATTCCCTAGTTAGAAGATATGCCTAGACAAATACTGTCATCGAGTTCACAAAATATACAGAACCAAAATATAATTTAATACTCACCATTTGTATGATAAAATATTGACCCTTCCATTTATTTGACAATCAAAACGAACATGTTTTGCATGTTCTTGTACTGTGATATTTGTTGGTTTTTTAACTAAGAAAAAAAACAAAATATATTTATTTAATCAGATACATATTATGACTAAAAAAATGAATATTCTGTAAACATTGGCATAGATTAAATAATGTTAATGAACTCTCATTTTATGAATTCATGATTGTTTAGTTCTACATGTACTAAGATATGATAGTTTCAATTTTAACATCATTAGCTGCTTTTGGTTAAACAATCATTGGAAACAAAAATAACCATACATTTCCGATTTTACCTATTTCACGATATCGTGTAGATATTATTCATGGTCACCGTTATTATTTGTCTCTTTGCAGGGTTATCCACAAGGTTTCCTGAAGAAATACTTGCATGTAACAAATAGGAAAATAAAGATATCAACAGCTGCGAAGAAACCTCTCTTCCTGAAACTACAATTCAACGGCGATTTAGCTGATGATGTACTACGGGATAGACTGACGAAAGCGGTCAAGAGAACGTTTAATGCAACCGACCTATGTCTTTCGTACTCGACACGATCTATGGTGATTCCACAATTAAAGGATAAGTTGCCTGGTTATGCCACTTCTATGTGTATGTATGAATTAAGCTGCCCCCTACCAGACAACTGAACCGAAGAGTTAGTGAACACCTCCGTTTGTGGCTAGAAAAAGGTATGGTCAAGTCGATACGGAGCTCAATTCTTTCACACTTGATCGATAGCGGTCATAAAGTTGACAGAAATCAGTCATTTAAAGTTATTTATTGTATTCCTACTAGTTTTCCTTATGGGGTTCGATCTCGTCTCTTACACATAGCAGAAGCTACAGGAATTCGATCCAACAACCCAAGTCTTTGTGTTCATAAGAAATTTGTAACACCCTTATCTCTCCCTTGACCTTAATAAATAATTTTATTTTCCATACTCTTTCTTCGTTTATTTTTCTTCACCCCCTAGCAATTATTTACTTATTATTTTTTCTGATATTCGCTTCACAGTCCAATTATCTGAACACTTCTTATTACGTAATCTTATAATTTCTATAAATGTTATTTCATTGTCTATATTTTTCTAATCATTGATCTATTTTCCTATTGTGTAACATTGATTCAAGCCTTTTATTATTCTTATCACAACTAGTACACCTGTCATTACACTATCACTTATTATTATCTTTAATTATGTAATCTATTCCACTGTTATCATAGACTCATAAACTGCCTTGATTGGTTTAATAATTTCGTATATGCATATAAATATTACTGTATATTAGAGTAAAGCCTGATGAGGATCTAATCGAAAACAATATTGTTCGCTTATATATGTTGTTCTTTACAGGGTGTTGTGACAGTTGTAGTGTTAGAGGTTTCTCATCACAGTTTGATGTTTGTTAGAAAGTCAGTGAAAATACATGTTTCATATTGATTAAATTAGGTGTTTTTGTCGGCCTGTCTGAATATCCGGGCTACCTGTTCCTGAAATCTAGATATTTAAACAATTTATCTATTTCCTTGTTTGTTTTAACAGATCATTATTTCAATTAATTGCATACCTTATCAATTGACTCATGCTTTCAATTATGAAACATACTAAATCTCCACAAAACTCCTTCTGATAATTAATATAATCATATGCTCATTAGTGACTTCGGGAAGTACATCCAGGAGCTCTAGTGAGAAGCAGTGACCAGTGGAGTGCAAACCACGTATGTCGTGAGATAGGAACTCACTGATGACAATTGGTGAATGGTTGCTCAACCTCGTGGATCAGTTGAAGTTAGACATTAACGGCATTGGATGCCAGCTCAGTGGTTTATCGGTTAAGGGCTCTGGCTCGAGACTGGTCGGTCCTGGGTTCGAATCTCGCGAGAGCGGATTCATGGATGCGCACTGCTGAGGAGTCCCATAATAGGACGAAACGGCCGTCCAGGTTTTCCATGGTGGTCTAGCTTCAATAGACTCATGCTTTCAATTATCCAGGTGTGTTTGTGAAATGTTGACGACCTTTCACTGCACAAGTTACAAAAATGTTTAGTCGAAGGACATTGTAATGGCCGGTAATATGTAATAAAAAGAATGAATATTATTCAGATATCGAATTTTGAAATGCTAATATCTAACTAGCGGTCAATCAATACTTATCGTCAATATCGATTAAGAAATAAGAAAAGGATGCCCGCTGAAATACTTTGTGCTGAGAATTCTATATTGTACCGAAAATATAGCATTGAATAAAGCCATTAATAATATTATTGTGACAATAATCAGAGTAATAATAATAATAATAACAACATTAATGTAAACGATATCCCCAAAGTGAAACCAACTGAGAAGTTAATAAAAACTAAGTCATGAAGTATCAGTTAAATCCTGGTATACACTCCTTGGTCGATTACTTTTGTATCAAACCATAAATAAACGAATAGATTTTAACAGATTAAGAAAAGAAATTTTATTAATTTATGGATACACTTTAATCCCATGATATAACCTTAGTAGTAGTCGAAATGTCTTTCATAAATATTGATAATAGTTGTTATTTTGAAAATAAGGCATCGAATATGATTAAATACATTTTGAAATTAAAATTTTCAAAGTTGCTTATTAATTTTCAGAGTAAAAAAAAACCGAAAGAACAAGTAATACTTCTGTCTAAACATCAATCACACGAAACACTGATTTTTAATTGTAGTAACAGAAGTAACTGACTGTTTTATGTAGTGATTTTGATTGGTTTAAAACAAGTGAAATACACTTTACTCTTCCTGAGAATTATTGTAATTATACAACTTTGCCAGCTTAGAGATATTGTAACGTATTGGTTTAAAGATTTAAGTGACTAACTTCAAGTCACTGAATTTAAGGTTCAAATCCTACTTTGTCCAAATTAATTCGAGTAGATATTGAGATATTGCGAAATAATCAACAATGTGCCTATCCTCCAATCTCTTGCAGATAGAATTATAGCTTTTAAATTCTGCTAAGAATCGTGATATCTTGAATAAATTGAGTACTTTCCTTTAAAAAGTCATATCGTAACACTACAGACTGGTGCATTTATTTCCTGTCAGATTAACACTTGGACACGTTTGTTTATTTCATCGGGGACATTGCTCTAAATGTCATACTCTTGAATGATCAAATAGAATCAATCTACCAAGTGAACAGATTTATCAAATACTTCAGCAAAAGTATTTCTTATTGATAACAGTGAGATTTTTCAAAATCCCATACTTAAGAAAATCAAAAATGTAATGCCAAACTACTACATAGAGTTTTACTAACAGAGATCATTTTACACTATTGATAACACATTTAGTAGTTTGTTCTTACTTCAAAACTGAACACAAAACCGGGAAAAATCAAGCATGACTTGAAGCAAATGAAGTTTTGTAGCAGATGACTTTTATCTGTCTCCAAAAAACAACAATTTTAATTAAGTTCACTCATTTACATAGAGATTTTACTGATATTTGATGATCAGCTAATAAATATCATATATTAACTAAAACACTGAAAATATAAAGTTGATCTTACACTGACTAAATACAATCAAATTTTATAATGAACAAATGTCACATTGAACCAATAAGTGTTCTTGAGTTTTATTCCTTCATTACACATTATTTTTTGTAGAGGAATATCTACGAGTTAGATTTCACATGGTATCAACTTAAAGCTTTCTAATCTGTGCTTAATATTGGAGTTCAATATGCAATGATTTTGTTATCAGATTGTTGAAATAGATCAACGGATTAATGATGTTTTCAAGTCAATTGAACAGACAACTAGTGTTTATAAAATCATTTCTCGATGGCTAACAATCTGATCAAGAACTAACTGATTTTGTTCAATGAATTGACAATGTTTACAGAAGTCAATAAAATAACAAACTAAGTGTCAAATCATGCACCAAAAACATTTTTCATCGAAGATAAAGGTTTAAGTCAATTATTTAATTTGAAGAAAGGAAATTATTTCTATGTGAAAGTTTTATTCTACGTTAACTATTTATCAAAAACTATGATTATAGTGTAGCGTAAAGTCTGCATAAAGCTAATACTTTCCATACACATCTCTCAGAAATAACTGACCTGGTTTTTCCACGGATAATTCATGATATTCAGTGGCTTAAACACGAACGTCTAGTCAACTCTGGGCACGTTATCCCACCACAATCATCATTCAGAATCCTACATAAAGTTAAATGAGCAAGATTAAATGGTGATCAAGTTCACCACTTGTTCACTTCAGAAGATATAACACTTTATCAGTTCAAAACTGAACGCTGCTTGTTAAAGCAACACTTACGATCTCTCATACTTCTAGTTCCCTCACAATTTCCAGTGTGATTTCCATTTTTATTTTTAGAATTTTCATCATAATACTTTGCGTTTTTAATCAGTAACCGGTTATTACTAACATCTGTCGTTTTAGAATCATTATCCAATTCAGATAGTCTTTAAGTTTGTTTGGTTCACCGTCATATCTCTCATGTCGACAAATATCTCTCATATTTATGAGCTGTACATTAGCTTCATCCACCCTATCCATCATTACTCAACCTTCCTTTGATATCTCCAAACAATTCACAATTTCATTCCCTTTCATTTTCCAACAGACTGAAATATTTCTAAAATCACTATAGATATAAATGTGCGGCTTTAGTATACTGTATCGTCAAAGAGAAACTGTATTTCATTGATTTCTCTTTATTCGTTATTGAAGAAAGGATAATTATAGTGTGGCTGCAGGATACTCAGATTGCCATTATTCATGTTTATTCAATTATTGCTTTTAAAAACAAAACGATTTCTATCTCTAATTAAAGTAATGTTTCTCCTCTGTACATGTAAACTAATGATTAATCAATTCAGATGGCAAATTATTCCTCAGATTATGATCAGACATTATCAATTCTGTCTCCTTGAATATTGATAGTAAATGTGATAAACATCTTCTTGATTTAATAAAGTGATTGTTTTTAAGTTTTCAACAGTATCTTTACTCAGTTTTATGGAGACAACATAATTTAAACAAAACCAATCACCTTTTGCTGTTTAGCATTTTATTACATTTTGCTACTGAAATGTAACATTTTTTCAGTAATACTCATCGGTGAAACTCGTATCCGTTCCCCCGATCAGTATGACATCTGAAATTGTATCGATATGCAATTTATGAATATCTCACTAATAAGATATATCTAGGAAATTTCTTAAAATTGAACAAGCAGATCAGGAAGCAACCAGACCCAAAACTTTACAGATTTACTCAAAATTTAGTTTTCAAACCCAAACACTTGATGTTTTTTACTTGAAGATAAAGCTATATTTAAATTTTGATTTACAGACATAAAATAATGTTTAATTCATTCCTATATCTTGATAAATCATTTCCATTTAATTTCTTATTCAAGATAATAATAGCTTTTCAATCAGCCATAAGTCACTCATTAAAGATTTTATTGTTTAATAACTAGCCAATTTATACTTGTTTACTTGTTGGGTGGTTACAACAACAATGCTTTATCATAACTGAGCAATGATCATTTTAAATGATATTCTTCTGTATTACACAACAAATTCACATTCATATGTCTTATGTTCACATACTAGACAGTGTTTCAATAAAAACTAATTCAGATTAACTCTGGAACGATTATCTTGTGAGAAATCTTGCTGTTACACAAAAAACGACAAGTTTGAACTTTTAAGTGTGATACATCTATCACCATAGAATTTTGATGTTCATTCTTAAGTTGTAACATTCAAAAAGTGACTGAAAAAAATGTAGAGCGATTTGATTTTTTCGATACTGGTGATAGATATTTTATATAATGAATATTACTAATAATGAGATAAGTACAAGATCACTGATAGAACACTAAGTCGTTTTTAATTCAAAGATAAGCAGGTTGAAATACTGAAGTTATTTATATAATCAGGACGTTTTAAGTAAAATCATTAGTTGGGAGTACCCAAAAGACAGTAGTAACAACAGTTCCTTGTAGTCACAAGGGAGTTGGGCATTTCGTTGAGTGAAGTGAAGGACTTCATCTTAACAAAAAAAGTCAAACCACTAACCAAATAACTCAACATATGTATATGGATTGAGTGACTGAAGCTGTTACTAATATATATATATATATATATATATATATTCATTACTGTAATGACAAAATCTGATCTACAAGCAAACAACATTTTAATAAACTAGTTTGAGCGGTGTGATGCAACCGGCAAACTATTCCATAATCATGACTATTATACTTAACCAAATATTTTGTTTTCACCCAATGATACTGCTATCAATATCTATAAATTTGACATTTGTTTGCAATGGTTATCCATAAGTCACCTTTTGTAAGGATCAATGTGTTACAAGCTTTCTGCCTAATATATAACAGTCGCCAAACGCATTGTATACCAATGCATTATACGTTTATTAAAAAAAAGTGGTGAATAACTATTATCAAAACAAATCTAACAGACTGTAGAATTTTTCATAACTCACTAACTAGACTATATATAACAATTAACTTTTACCTGTCATAAGTTTCACCCGTTCATATGACATCATTAGCCAAAAAATATATTCACAATAAGTATTTGACAGCATTTTTCACTATGATTTACCGTTGTCATTAATTATTTTGATGAAAGATTTTTAACCCGTTTCAAAAAAGCTGTACGAAACTACAGACGTATTTTAACAACTTTTATCCACGAATATGGTATTTATTATTACATTAAGGGACACTAACCCAGTAGTTATAACTGGTATTTTTTTACAGCCCAGACCAAACTGCTTATTTATCTTCTAAATGATGTTCTTACTATTTAGTGTTTGTAATAATCGGTGGTTGAGTCATCTTTTAAGAAGTCATGTAATAAAATGGTCAATTATGGTATACAGGGCTGTCACAGATCTCAGCCTAACAAGTGGATTAGCTTGTAATAGTGTTTACTTTTCTCATGACTTTCTCGAGAAATGTTACTCATAATCTCACTATCTATCTGAAAGCTGAAGTAAGATAAACGTCTCTGACTCGGCACACGTTAGCATACAATAACTGACTGTAACTCGTAAAATATCATCGACATGATCATATTACATGTTTCCTGCTCCTTTATAAAGACGAGAATGATTTCAAACTTTTCAGTATTCAACCAACGCAGAAGCACGTCGTTCCAAGTTTCTACTTCTTTTGATTTCTACTGATAACCCTTAGTCTTATTTTAGCCTTAGGAACTTTAAATATGGCGTTTGAATCTGCTGCTTACTATTTTCAGCCTCATTAAGAATCTAAGGTTACCGTCAAGTAACTGCTAATTTGTAACTAAGTCGAGTCTAATAGATGTCTTCCAAGTTAGCCAATACATGACATCATTGTTAAATAAATATATAAAATTAATAATTTCAGAAAGCAGAGCAATGGTAAAGTATAATATAATAGACCGTAATTCATGTTGAAAGATATCAGTACTTTATTTATGATTCGTCAGCAAATGTTCATAATTGACCGAGCAAATGTTCACTAGTTATTGCTGTTATGGTGCTTTAAATGACATAACGTTTGTTTGAAAGATGATTTAGTCGTAATCCATCGATCGTGATACTCCTGTAGGACATGATAATCTACAAATCAAACCATCAGTGAAAGTGCATGCCTTAATCGACTTCTTCAAAATGATCTTTAAAATGTTTAAATAGTCCAGAGATGATTTCTCAACCATCCAAAAATGCATGTGGTTCAGACACGTTGTACATTGCAAAATCTTACATCATTCAGTTGGAAAGAATCAGGGGCCAACCCAACCAACAACCGCAAACAATCTATTTAATCATACACAACTAACCTATTTAGGTTCGGAGTTTGAGCATAGAAACGGAACTATTCAACCACATTACAATTATCAAATTTATTGACGTCTGCTTATGAACACCAGAATACAGAAGGAAATGTTACCTTTACAACCATCTTTCGCATAATTAACATGGCTTTCTTATGATCGAATATATTTAAGACTTCTCATCACATAAATACAAACTAATAAATTTAACAGCATGCAGCACAATTTCAGTATCCTTAAATTTGTTTTACACTTCAATAAGATAGACTCTTGAGTGACATTAGTAATATAAAGTTTATGACTAAAGACTTTAAATCCAGAACTTGTTTGATATACATGTTCAATATTATTATTTTTTACTTGAGTTAAACTATGTCAAAAAGAAGTTACTACGAATTATTGAAGCTTATGTCTTTGATAATGAACAACACTTCTGACGATGTTTTAAAATTATTTTATTTGGCAGACAAATTTGAAAGCAGTCTGTGGTTTTGTTGAGGCTTAATCAAAAGAGATATCTACGATTAATTTATCTTGTAAGGTAATATTATTGGTACGTTAAGCGTTAAGGAATAATGTTTTAAAGGTATTCAATCTATTTGTAAGTAGTTAACCATATTATTTTCAAAATATTGTAACTCCCGTTGTTAGATTAGTGATATGTCAATGCTGATATGAAATAATGAAGTTTTGTTTCAAGTAGAATCAATAAAACTAATCAACTCAAAAATGTGACATATCTGGAAATGAAAAAATTAAGCGTAACTTACCGAAATACATTTTCTTACTACCTGACATTTGTTTAGTGTTATTACTCAAAATATCGTCATTGCTTTCGCTTATCCATAGCCCGTTATTCAAATTCATTAGTTCTTGCTTTCGATAAGAACTTTTATCAGTATCAGTATCTTCACCAAATGTATAATATACAATATCCAATGAATAAATAATCAGAATCCAAATGAATAAAAAGGTTTCATGTTTATTCATTGTTTTAGTTAATACTTTTTGCGAATCTTTTAATTATATACTTAAGATTTGAAATTTGGTACATGTAACATGATAATAAGTAAAGATTAAATCATAAAAGTAATCACTCAATAGTTGAGTATCTTAGATAGATACTATGTAGAAACTAGGGATTTTTATATTGAATGTATGCAATTGAACAGAATAAGTGATAAACATTAGCTCTTAGTAACATGTTGATTGTTTCAATCATAATCAATGTACAATTTAATCTGTTTAATATCGAATTTTATGAAGAGATTAATATCCTAAAGTAGTTTATATATTTTCCATCAAAATAATTTTAGAGGAATTCATGTCTAGTGAAAGATAATTAACTATATGACATTGGATAGAAAAACGAGTATAAATGTAAACTGATAAAATGAAAAAAAAATTGAAAAAAAAGAAAAAAAATTCTTATCAACCAATCAAATGGTTACTGTATTGTTAAAACAAAATCTTTAGACAAAAACTGTCCACAAATAAAACACATAGATACATTTTAAAAAATGAACATACAAAAGTGACAGAAGGTTACACGTTTATTATTATTATTATTATTATTATTATTATTATTATTATCGTGATTATTATTACGAAAATAATCGTTGGTGAAACCAGGTATCGCATTTTCATGGACATTCCTTCCAGAAAATAAATGTATTTCAGCTAGATCTATGAGATAATACATTAAAAGTGAAAGATTGAACCTTTTCATAAGTAGATATTGTTCAGAACACAGATGTATGAACCAAAGAAATCTTCTTTCAAATAAATTCTTTTCAGGTTCTACAAATATATATATATATCCAAATTAATAGTCCGAAATTGTCCACGTTTAGAGCAAACAAATTCTTCAGAATTATAACATGTAAATTTAGGATTGTTCATGAAATAACATAGAATTTTCAATGTTGAGATGACATATGAAGTGTTAATTTAAATAGGTTTGTATTCAATGAAATCCTAATATAAGTAACAGGAGGTGAAAAAGATAAGAAGTAACCTAAAGAAGAAAAGTACTTGGACTGGTCAATATACAAAATTTCTATTTCTCTACGACATAAACGAAGTTTCATTCAGACACTTCATTATAGAATCAATGCTATATGCTCCTCAAGTATAGTTACAAAAGAAATATACATTGCGTAGTACCATAAAAGAAAATAGGTATCCTGATAAACTTATAAATAAAAATGTATTCAAAAAGTAGTGGTAAAGTCTTAAATGCGACCAAAATGTCTCTGTTTATACGCTTATGATTTAGAGGTGATGCAACTAGCGTAACGTTAATGTTAAAGTAATTCAAAGTACCTCCATTACATGAAAACAGTTATTACTGTTTTCTACAAGTCCGGTGAACACTCCAAGAATAAAAATTAAATTATCTAGACTAACCTACTCTTTCTGTATATATCATTTCAACTTCTCTTGGGGAACAATTTATAATGTCAGAAGTTCGAATTTTTTTATTTTCGTGCTTGCGAGTACCTCCCAGTCTGATTAGGTAAAAGCATAGGTAAAACTGTCAACAGCTCCATTCTAGATCATTAAACATAAACGTACCATACAGTAAATATGAAACGGTCATTTACAATAATGTATCGTGTTAACATAAATTGGCCTGAAGCCGCCAAATCAAGAATCCTTCAAACGGCTGAAGCAATAGCTATTCAGATCAAAAAGCCGGAGCTTTGCATCTACAATAAATATGTTCAACCACTCCTTTTAACTTGAATAACTTCTGACCTAATCAGTTACCAATCATTTTTTGATATGGTGACGTGACTTGATTAGCGTTCATACAAACTCCTCTAAATCATGAACTAAAAATTTTATAATCTTTCATTTTCTGATAGATTTTCATTTTAAGGAAAAAGAATTTAAAGATTTATATCCCGAACTAGTTCAAAACTAAAACGATCTTAATTCATTATTCATGTTTTTCTACTAGCCATAATCAACATTTCGCTTCAAACCAGTCATCAAGATATTTCTGATTTACGAAAATAAGTCGTCCAATTTATAAATAAGGTGTAACTGTTTTCACAATTGAATTGCCTTGATCTCTATTCGTAAAACTGAAACGATCCTTGAAAAGTAAAGTTGCTTCAATTCATTAATTGAAGTGTATTAAAAGAAGACATATTTCGACCATTTAATTAATAAGTTTGTAATATTTGAAACTAATATGAAGTTGTTCATCTTCTTGTTATGAAATCTCTTAAGGAATAATGACTAACCATTGTCATTGAATTTTCAGAGTGATGATTTTTCAAGTACTTATTAAAGCGTAATAACAAATTTATTATAGGTATCAATCCCATTTTTGAACCCCATAGTTTCGAGTTAATTGAGCACTGGGTAGGAACTTAATCAAAAACAACCCTTTTATTATATCTCAATGAGTAAAAAATAATTTATTTCTGATGTTTCGTGACATAAACGTAATTCACTTCTTCAGAGTGAATAAACAACCGAACCAAACTAACATAAGTTTAAATAGTACAAAGGAAACAGTGCAGAATATTTTTGGTACAACCAAAATCATAATAAGCCTGGATATACCAATATAAAGTTATTGCTGGGAAAGATTGGTTCAGTGAAGAACTCTCCTTTATGCGAATTCATTTTCAAAGCTAAACAATTACAAATATACATTTTAGGATGATAATAATTATAATAATTAAAGTAATTGTGATAACAGACTTCTGTTAAACATGGCAACAATGAAGTAGGATAAACAAAGGTATTAATAAAATTTTTAGACAGTGAAAATAATAATAGTTTTATTGTTGTGGGCTTAAATATTCATCATGAGCTATCATCATCCTAAAGTACACATTGAACGACTTAAAAACGTGGCTCTACATAAGCTATCCATTCGCAACTATAGTTTTTTAATATAATTCAGCTATTTTTTTACTCTAAAGAAGTGGCTCACATTAGGTCACGAAACGTCAGGAATATAATTTTTCTACTCTAAAAAATATACTTATTATGAGGAATTTATTGTTGATAGCACTAACTTTGCGTTTTCGTTTACAGATATAATGCTCCCAACGTCAAATGTTACGTATAGTTCTTTCATTGAATGTATATTATGGAAATTATTCAACATTTCAGTAAATAAAAGGTTCACTAGTTACATAATATAAATTCAAAAAAAAAATAAATTTCAGCTTATAATACATACTCCTAGTTTGGTTTCAGAATCACTATTACAGTTTCAGAATTACAAAGTATTCGGTATATAGTGAAATAGTTTTACTTTTTCTTCGAAAACATTTGTAGTACATTTTAATTTCTAGCATTGTGAAAGTGATAAAAAACAGGATTCGAATAACTTTTAAAAGCAATGGTTTAAAATTTGTCAAACAAGATGTGAACTAAAATGTATCCTGAATACCAACGTAATACAACTTATGATGATTCTGAGAAAAAAACTGATCAACAAAAAGTATCTGCTTACTGGACTTTATTGTCATCATTACCATTAAATCTTAATTTGAATAGAGTTTGTCAAAACTTATTTTGATTTGATTGCTTCAATCATCTTCAAACACGCAACTTGTTGAATTATTCAAGAAACTTTTGACAACGTACTTTGTTTATGCATAATCATTCTTGTTAACATAGTTCTGTAGCAATACAACTATTATTTACTCCATGCTTAAAGTAGAAGGTAAACAAATAAATTACCAGTATGTTAATTTCCTATTTTTTTCTTTGCTACAAATTGTATTTTGTTGTTTTCTCTTTTCTTCAGAATAAACACAATCACAACTTGTTTTGTATATATAATTACTCTAAAGTCATCATCAACAGTTGGAACATTTTAATGATCAAATATGTGAATATAAAGAACAGAAACATAATTCAAGTACAATTTAATCATCAAATCTTGTTTAAAGTTTGATGTAAATTAAAATTTGTCATGAGAAATGTCTTAATATAAATTAAGGAATAAACAGTTGAATTGATTGGAGAAAAACTCAGTTCATATATTAATATAAACATTAATTAACATTATAAGCAAAAATGGATAGTGGCTAGCAGTGGAACCCATAACTCGCATTTCGTCCTATTTGGGACTAGTCAGCTGGATATACCTGTATCTCAGAGTTGATGTTCACACCGGGCCTCGAACCCGGTACCGTTTGCTCCAAACGCCATCGCGTTATCCACTCAGCTACTGAGTCCTGATAGCCAATTGCTTGTGCAACGGGGTGAAGTCATATTGACTTGATGTTGCATGTACACCAAGCTGACGAGTTAAAAATAGGACGAAACGCGCGTCCTTAGATTCCACTGCTAGCCACTATCCATCATTGCGTATAGGGAAAATATTTTAAAAAAGATGGTATAGTTGAAACCGAAATCCCCTTTTATAAGAACTAAATAATTTGAAAGCTGATCCAATTATTTCATTGTTTTTTCTCATTGTGAAAGAGGAAAAAATTCATTAATTTAATCTTAAATGAAATTGAATCGGCACATTACTTCAAAATTTCATAGTTGAATGAAATGTCTAGTTAGTTCTTTATTGTTTTCAATGATTTTCCTATTCATTCTAACCGTAATTTGGAATAAAATGATCTCGACATATTCTTAATGGTAAAAATTAAATTGCAAATATTTTCTTTCACTCAAAAAAACTTATATAAATGAAATGAAAGAAAAATTTTCTGTAAAATAGTAAGTTTTTAAATCAACATTTTCAATATTTATTATTTTTAGAAGGAGGGTTTTGTGGAGATTTTAGTAATTTTATATAGTTGAGATCATAAACCAATTGAAACTGCTGTAGAGTTCCACAATAGGACGAAATGGCCATCCAATACTTCCAGGTTTTCCTTTTGTTTTCTGCAGTAATAATGTGAACATTACAAAAATTCATTCTGAAAAACCATTTTTCTACTACAAGTACTAATTTAATTAAACTGAGCATAAATAAAATATCGAAAATCGTAATAAAA